CGTTTATTTTTCTAAAACCCTAAACTGTGTATTGCTTTATATTTATAGGTGTATATTAACACCAACCCTAATCCATGTACAATTAGGGGCTAAACCCTAACTCTAATTCTAACCGTCCCATAAAACTATCTCAGCTTTAACCTACGGCGGCTCACAGATACGTGAAATATAAACCAAAGTTAAAACTGTAACCCTAAGTTACCATAAAGAAAATAAATAAACATTACATTAACTAAATAAAACAATTAAATAAGTATAGTAATTAAACAGGTAATTAATCCAAGTAATTAATTCAAATAATTAATTAAAACCAATTAAACAATTAACTCAATTAATTCAATTTAAACACCACAATAAAACAATTAATTAAATAAAAATACAATTAAATCAGAAATTAAATATCAGAAATATCTTTTTAAAATTAGGGGTATTACAGTGCCCGCGGGGTACTGTTTACTGGAACAATAACCTCTTTTTTTTTTTTTGGGTACCTTTGGATACTCTTTCCTTGGATATTTTTCCCTTGAATAATGTTCCCTCGGGTAATGTTCCCTTAGGTATTCTTCCCTTGGGTAATGTTCCCTCGGGTATTTTTCCCTTGGGTAATGTTCCCTAAGGTATTCTTCCCTTGGGTAATGTTCCTTCGGGTATTTTTCCCTTGGGTATTCTTCCCTTGGGTAATGTTCCCTAAGGTATTCTTCCCTTGGGTAATGTTCCTTCGGGTATTTTTCCCTTGGGTATTCTTCCCTTGGGTAATGTTCCCTTAGGTATTTTTCCCTTGTGTAATGTTCCCTTGGGTATTCTTCCATTGCGTAATGTTATATTGGGTAATGTTCCCTTGGATAATGTTCTTTGGGGTATTCTTCTCTTGGGTAATGTTCCCTCGGGCATTTTCCCTCGGGTATTGTTCCCTTGGGTAATATTACCTTGGGTAATGTTCCTTCGGGTAATGTTCCCTCGGGTATTTTTCCCAATAGTGAAACAGATACCAAATCAAGGTTCTGTTTTGGAAGGGTACGGGTTCAAACCCATGGTCAATAACTCTTAGTGATGTAAAATTGGATTTTTCTTTTGAAAATCCAATATACTAGTTGTAAACTTTATGGGTTTCAGTTAGTCCATCACTTTGGCAAGGGAATAAATTTTACAAGCTTCACTCAGCTCGTCGTCCCTTTAATAAGGGAATTAGTTTTTACAAGCTTCACTCAGCTCGTCCCTTTAGTACATGATATTTATTTACTGTCCCTTATAGTATGGGGATATTGATTACGAGATTCATTCAGCTCGGATCCTTTTAGTACAGGACATTTATTTACTATCCCTTATACAAGGATATTGATTACGGGATTCATTCAGCCCGGGTCCTTTTAGTACATGACATTTATTTACTATCCCTTATAGTACGGGGATATTGATTACGGGATTCATTCAGCTTGGATTCTTTTAGTACAGGACATTTATTTACTATCATTTATAGTATAATGATATTGATTACGAGTTTCATTCAGCCCTGATCCTTTTAGTATATGACATTTATTTACTATCTCTTATAGTACGGGGATATTGATTACGGGATTCATTCAGCCCGGATCCTTTTAGCACATGACATTTATTTACTATCATTTTTAGTATGGGGATATTGATTATGGGATTCATTCAGTCGGGGTCCTTTTAATACAGGACACTCATTATTATCCCTTGTAATACGGGAGGTAGTCGTCTCGTCTCTCTAGTAAATGAAGGAAACTTTAATTATCTCACCCTTCTATGTAGGAGGAGTAGTCGACTTCTTGTCCTTTTAATAAGGGAATAATGTGTTCTTGGCCCTTGATCCCTTTAATGAGAAAACCTTTAATAAGGTGTAGTCGGCCTCTCGTCCCTCTGAGTCCTCCTCACAATATGTCTTATCGCTTTGGCTGAAGAATGATCTCTTATAGCTGGCATCTTTTTCATCTCTGGTTAGAGGGGCTAACCTCTTCTTGTCCTCTCATTCATTTCCCTTTCGTGCATTTATGGCGTCTTCAGCGTTCATGTGTTTCTGCGCTCTAATCAACAACTTTGCCATGCTGGTGGGAGGTTCTTTAGAGAAGGCGAACAAGAATCTGGAGGTTTGAAGTCTTCCTATGAAAGCGGTCAAAGCCACCTTGTCGTCCACCTCTTAAACTTGTAACATCTCTGCGTTGAATAGGGTGATGTATTCCCGGATCGACTCTCCCTTCTATTGCTTCACGGTAAGTAAGTACATGGCTAGCCTCCTATGCCTCTGACCTGCAATGAAATGGCTCACAAATTGCTTACTCAGTTCTTCGAAGGTGTTGATGGTTCCTGGCTTCAGCTTGTTGAACCAAACTCTTGCTGATCCCTTAAGTGTAGTGGGAAAAGCTCGGTATATGATTTCATCTGGCACGGCGTGTAAATGCATAAGAGCTTGAAAGGTCTCCAGGTGATCGAAGGGATCTTTGGTCCAATCGAAGCTTTCGAATGAAGGCATCCTGAACTTGTTAGGCAAGGGGCATTTCATAACGGCGAGGCTGAATGGCAAGTTGGTCATTTGCACCAAGTCATCTATGGCGGCATGACCTATCCTTTTCATAGCCTGCATTACATCTTCCATTTTCACCTTGAGATCCTTGATCTATAGGTCGAAATAGGTAACTTTCTCTGTCTTTTCCTTAACACAGAAGGTTGTGCCTATTTGAGATTGGGAATTCTATAGAGGTGGGGAAGGAGGTTCTCTATGTCGATTTCTGACTTGGTTTTGTTCTGCCTCGAACGCGTGAGAAGGATTGTTTTCTCGGTCCTCCTCGTGTTGTCCCCCATCATTCAGATTGAGAAGATATGGTCGGACAATTCTTGTTGAGCTGTGGTCCCGCTGGGACAAGATGTTGCAGGATCTTTGTATTTTGTTGGATCAACTGGTCCATACCCTGATTCAGAGTTTAGACCTGTAGTTCTAACGTGCAAGCTGTTCCTGATCATTCGGGACGTTTGGGTGTTTGCCCGACCCTTCTCTTTGACTGGATCCCTGTAATGATGATTCTGTTCCAGTTACCATACCGGACCGCAAGTACATATACCTAACCGAGTAATTGATTTAAGGGAATCGTTGTTTCCCACAGACGACGCCAACTGTTGAAGGTGAAATCCACGCGGTCCGATACGACACCGTTTTCCTGCAAAAAAGAGAGTAGAAGATAGATGAATCTTGACGGCACCGGTGTGGTGTCTGGCAAGCGCTCTCCGACGATCAAGTCAGTCACCAGAGGTCTAAAAGAAAGGTAAGGATTTACTAATAGTTTTTTGTCGTACCTTTATTGACTGGTAGGATCTCATTCTTATAGGCGCTCCTCGTCAGTTCATTTGCAAGATCAGAGGAGATCCATTTGTTGCCAGATTTGCCGGGATATGATTTAATCCTTTGACTTTCTCAAATCGTGCCAATGTTATCTTATCCTGTTGAACCACATCATCTTATCTTTTCCTTGATAATGAAATATTATCATTCTTGAACAATGAAAATATCATCGTTCGAAAGTAGAAGAGATCTGGCGGCTGGTCAACACTTAGTTGTCTCTATCGTTAGGTCAAGGTAGGTTAGGTTTATTTTTCCCTATCAGGCATCAAATATAGTTGTTCACAAAATGGTGTTACAAAAGGAAAATAAAAATAAAAAATTTTACAAAACGATTCATATTGTGTTTGGTAGAAGGGAGGAAAGGGGAAGGGATAAGAAGATAGATTGAACAAGTTTCCATTATTTGATGAAACAATTTCTATTGTAATTGAAATGAGGGGGGCACGGTGTAAAAAAAAAATAAAAAACAATAATTACGACAATAAATATAAATTTTATAAATCAAGAGGTAAAAAAGAAAAATTACTTAAAAATAATATGTCAATCAATGAGTAATTTAAAAAAGATTAATAGTTAACAAAAAATTTAAAAAGGAAAGAAAAATGAGAGAATTTTGAAAGGGAAAAAAATTGGAGTTTGATTAAAAAAAGAAATTAAACGAATTTAAAAAGTAAAAAAGAGAAGAAATACAAAATTTAAGAGATAATTTTAAAAAATAAAAATTTTAGAGAGGACATTATATGAATTTTTTCATATCCACATGTAAAAATATATAAAATTAGTATATATATATTATAGTAAGTGGGGCCAGGCGAGGGGGGCACGTGCCCCCTGGGCATATACTTGCTCCGCCCCTGGTTAGAAGTGTTTCACGTTGAATTCGAATGTAAATTGAAATGAGTATAAATGAGTGGGTATACAACATGTCTTACCCAATAATTTAAATTTTTAGGTCAACGAGCAAACACTCACCAGTTAAACTAGTCTACAAGACCCTTGGTACGAATTCTAATAAATGGGTATTGCTATAAAAAAAAAAAAAAAAAACCGGGGGCCACTTTCAGTAACTTTTAAAAGGGTATTTTGTAGTTTTAAAAAATAAATATTTAAAAATACAATAAAAGAAAATTTCCGGATTATAAATGAGTTGGTATATAGTATGTCTTACTCAATAATTTAAATTTTTAGGTCAACGAGTAAGCACCCACTCGTTAAACTAGTCTACAAGACCCTTGATACGAATTCTATTAAATGGGTATTGCTAAAAAAAAAAAAAAAAAAAAAAAAAAACAAACCCGGGGACCACTTTCAGTAACTTTTAAAAGGGCATTTTGTAGTTTTAAAAAATAAACATTTAAAAATACAATAAAAGAAAATTTCCGGGGACACATGCCCCATGCTCCAATGGGTTATGACATTTTTATTACAATATTTGATTAGAGCAAAGTCTTATCCCGATCCACCGTATCCATAAATTAAAATTTTATTAATTTCTATCCAAAACTCGGATGAATTCGGACTTGGTTTGAGTTAATTTGCATCCGGGTTTGAATCGAATTCGGATTTTATCCATTTTTATTTGGCCGGGTAATATAACCGACGTATTGGGCTTCCTTTGGTCGATCGCTGATTGGCTTCTTAAAGAATAAGAATCAGAGAGTAAAAAGCGTAAACCCTCAAATCTGACGCCCCTTGTTGTGTTCTCTTGTTAGATTGCTTCCATCAATCGAAATTACCCTTTCCATTCCTTTCTCTCTCTAAAATTCTAGTCCCTTTCTCTCTCTAAGAATCCATGGCCGACGCTTATTGGAGATACGCCGACGTCAGGCAACAGCAAGCTCTTCCTTCTCTTGTCGGAAAACGCCCTCGCTCTGACTTCGGTAATCTCTTTCTCTCTATACACACATGACATATACATAGATTAGACGCACGTGTTATAATTGATGGGGAAGCTAGGGTTTCGGATTACAGGTTTTATCTTTTGTTTGGTTATCAAGAATTGGCGATGGGTGTTTTTAGATATGTTAGGGTTTTTCAATGGCGATGTGTTTGGTTGCCGATAAAAAGTAGGGAAGAAAGAAAGAAATTAAATTTCGTTATATATGTTATTCCATGGCTTGAACTGTGAATGAAACAACAATTTGGCTCAGTTGGTATATATATATATATATATATATATATATTTAATCTCTTTTTGACTTCATCAAGATGGAGATTTGAATCTTCTCGTAATGTTAAATGTAGAGCCCAAATTCTTCTTATTTTGGGTTTTTTCACCATTGAATTAAGTGGCACCTGATTGCATGTTATTCTTCTTTTTCGTGTGTGTGTATACATTTATATATATATATATATAAATAACATTGAAGTGCTCTACATTCTGTGAGATTAATGGGTTATTTGTCCTTAAATTATTTAATTCTTACTCCTCCCTTGATTTACTGCTGCTATGCAGAACTTTTTGTTTAAATTTTTAAGTAGTTTCAAGTTAAAAGGAAAATAGACAATAACTGGTTGATAATTATGGTTATTGGTTTATTATGTCATATGATTTTTCCATTATCGTTGAGTTGTTAAGATGGTAATCACGTGAGGAGCTGTCATCCACTTCTGTGCAAACCCATTGTTGCCTGGACTGGTCTTTACTTCAGGCTTTAGTGTTGGAATCTTTGAATAGGTATTGGTGGTAGTAAAAGAAATGGAATCTGTCTGAATATTTCTTTGATGATCGATGTGTCTTACTGATCATGAAAACAAACGGTTTTCTTTAAATATTATTTAATTTATGATTTTATTGTTTATTCTTTGCCCAATGACGAAGATTTTAGTCACAGCATTATTTAGGCTGAGGGTTATCCGGGATCCACTCATCTATGTATAAATATATCATTTTTTTTTTTGGACGCATTTGGATTCCTTTTCGATGTTAATTTATACATACACATGTATATATATCGGTGTTTTTGTCTTTTAATTTCACTTAGCTTTTGTAATTTTAGCAACTGCTTATTATGTATTTTAGGGTTTTGGATAACCCTTCATTTGGTGCACCAGTTACAAAGTGTGACATGGTCCACCTTGAGGGTAGTGTTAGGGAAGGGCAAAAACAAGATCAGATTAACTACTCTACTACCAGCATGGTGAAGGTCTTTTCTTGAGTAGGACGAAAAATGAATAGCTTATTCATGTAGCTGACCCAAGTAGATGGGAAAAGGCTTTGTTAAGTTGAAAAATTCAAGAATATTTAAAACTGATTGAAAGATCATCACGTTTTTGTCATTTCATATTGTGTTAATTTTTTTTCTTGATACGTTGAATAGTTTATGTGAAGACAATTGGTTCAATGAAGGTCATGGGTGATCGAGGGAAAGAAAGCCGTCTAAATTTCCGTGATGGGGAATGCTATGGATCACTGAATGAAAAAAAATGATATGTTTTGAATATTGATATATTCTCTTCTTGTTCATTCGCTTGACATTTTATAAAGTTTACTTTCTTAGCATGTTAATGATTGTAAAACTGTTTGGAGATTTGATTTTATATTTATCTGGAGTTAATAAGTGTTAAGATGCTAGCACTTCAGTGGTTTGGACACATGATTAGCCTATCTATTCTATTTTAATGATTGTAAAACTGTTTGGAGATTTTCTTTTATATTTTTCTTGAGTTAACAAGTGTTAAGATGCCACTTCAGTGGTTTGGGCACGTGATTAGCCTATCTATTCTATGTAATGATTTCATTAAATAGTCTCTGAACTCATTTAGGATGCACTATAGAGACAGACTATGCCTTTTGAAAAGGTGAGTCTATGGTTTTTGAGAATCTATTCAAATAAAAGAGCACTAGCAGAGGATGTAGTGCCACAAGTAAGAAAAAATGTAAGCCACACTCAAGATCGTAATTTGTTCTCTACTACATATTTTTTCTACAATTTCCAAGATGATACAATTTAGCCCGACATATATTAGGAAATATCGTTGTTGCTTACAGACCTTGTGGATAGCTGCAGGCCAAATAAATGAACCAAATTGGTGATATATATATAAATGATCAGCACTATAGTACTTGTATTGGCACGTGAAACTTTCACCATTGACCATCCATTTGGAAGATCAGTTTGTATGGTTTGAGGATTCTAAGACTGCATATATATGAGGAATGCCACTTCAGATGGCTGAAGCATTCCATCTCAATTTGTCTGGAAATGACATCCTCTTCCTACGAAGCTTTTAGAGAAAGAAACTCATTATATGCGGTACCAGAACATCCATTTCCTAATGTAATCCTCTTTTTGCTGCACATTCCAACTAATATATCAATACCATAAACGGTACATGGAATTGAATTGGGAATCCCATAAATTTTTGCTATGAGAAATGTCGAAATGACAGGCCAGAACCTCCAAAGATGATCTCTGTGGTTTGTACCTTTTTAATGCTAGTCACTTATTATTTTGGCCTCTTCAATTGAAAAAACTCAGCATTGTTTTGACTTCAGTATCTAATTTCAGTAAATGTATGTGCCTGACGTAACTACAAAACCTTTTCTTGTTGTTAAATTTCGTTTGGGTAGATGTCTTGCGGCTGCGTGATAGCTTGTATGTCAATCATGTTCATCATAGAATGTCTCTTTTCTGATTCATGAAAATAACAATCTTTTATTGATGACCACATGTATTATTTAAATATTTTTTTAGGTTATTATTGATGAGATCCAAATGACACTCTCTTAATCTACAATGTATAATACAATGGTAAAAGTTTGTTATACCATTTCAAGTCCTTGTAGTTACAATTCAGTTCAACAAAGCCTTTTCGTAACTAGTTGGAGTCGGTATCGTGAATCTAGCTTCCTCGCTTTGCTCTATATAAGGCCATAATATCATTTTAGGTAGTTACATGATGCAAGTAAAGGCTGGAGGTTGGTTACATACCCAATCCACCACTCCACGCTTCCTGGATTGAGTCGATTGATGGAACCGACATGTTGTAATGATCCTTCTATTAAGTTGCATCCATTTTGCTTGTTCTCCTTATATTTATTAGTTACCACAAGATATTCAGTGTATTAAACTTTGATGATCCATAGTAAGGTGGAGTTCAACGTCAAGTTCAATATATTGGTTAATAGGCTGGATGTTTTTTTAAACCCAATCCATTTCCACGCCTTCAGAATTGACCGAACCATCATGGTAATGACCCTTTTAGTAGGTCGCATCTAGTTTGCTTGTTCTTCTGATAATCACCACAAAACATTCAGTGCATTGAAGCTTGATTATCCATATTAATGTGGAGTCTAATACATTGATTACAAATGCGTATCTTTATTACTGTTATTAGTTTGTTCTTGTGTGTGTATATTTTCTTAATTGGTTTTAACAAATCATATTTGTATAATTCATTTTTAAAGTTTCAGGTTGGTGTATAAATATGTTTCCATAAATAATGGAATTCACTTTTTACTAGTAATTTGGTAAATATCATGTGGCCGCTTATATTTCCTTGATTTGAATGTTTGAAGTATTTGGGAAAGACTCGGAGTAAGCAGGGGCGGAGCCAGAAATTTTCTAGTACTAATACGTTTTAGCAAGAATTACAAAATAATAAACACTTCTATTATTAAGTGTGAATTTTTAAAGGCAAGACCAAAAGGTTCATTGGACTTTGAAAAGTCATAAATAATTTATTTCACAAACCATTGTTAATTTCCATAGATAAGTAACTATAAATTAGAACTTTAGCAAATTTAATATTCTATGCAAAATTACCATTAATAACCATCAATAGCTATACATTATTACTATTAATAATTTTTTTTTAAAAAAACTGGGGGGACCATGGACCCCCTTGCCCCCCTGGCTCCGCCCCTGGGAGTAATAATGCACTTGTTACACAAGAATATGTAGGGGAGAGTTGGAGAAATGGAGGTTTGGGTTCTAGAGGGATCTGGTGATCCTTCCTTTTGTTGGAAAAATGAGAATCTGGATAAAATTGATGAAACAGAAGAGATCTGAGTTAAAGATACAGGTGACGATATCTGGATCCATTTAGATCTTAATTGCTTTATAAGAAGGCTTTGCTTGTAAGCTGTTGTGTAGTAGTGATCTAGGAGCTGGAAGATATGGAGCTATACGTTCCAGCTCTGGCATAGATTAGGGCCATTGCTTAAAGCTCGAGTGCTAAGCATAATAATCGTATTAAGTTTAAGGGAAGCCACTATCTGCATATAAATATTACCAGGTGTTATGTCTGCACCCTGTAAATTCCTCACTTCCTCACATTAATGGGTCTAGCAGTGGTTGGCGGCCTTACAGTGAATGTGAACTCTCAATTGCTTCATGAATTTTGAGTTTCTAACTTTCTGTTAGGTCAACCCCCTGATTTCCAAAGGCGGCCTTCATTATTAATCATTAATTTGGTCCTTGAGACCCTTCCAACCAACCACTAGTAATTAGGTCTTTGATTAGTGTGTTCACCTTTTTGCATCCTTTTGTTTTTAGAATTATCAATTCATTCTTGCCTTAATGGGGGTTGGATCTCAGAATCAAGATCTATTAATGTAACTGCCAGTTTCACATCCTTAGAAAATCATTCTTAGCCGTTAGATCATTTCCTTTTGATTTAATTTGTGATTGCAATTTTTTCCTGGAGCTGCTGCCTTTTAGTAGTCATATTTTTGATATGTGTTGGAAGTAGTGAATCAATCATTTTTCTGCGTTACTCTGTTAGGTTAATCCGTCTTTTAAGTTCCTAGTGATTTCTCTTTCCCCCCTTTCTCTGTCTCTCTCTCTCTCTCTATATATATATATATATATATATATATATGTATGTATGTAATTTTATGCATGTCTATCTACCTATCTATTTGTGTCTCTGTTTTATTTTTATTATTTGGGTGGTGGTGGTGAGAATGCAAGGGCTAAAATAATATTGTGAGCAGACTTTGATTATATATCACAGGGGGCCTTAAAATCACCTGCACCAAAATCAGCTGAATTTTGGTGTTTGTAAAGTGTTGTGATATTCTGTGAAGTGGCATTCTTTTTTATTTTGTGGGAGTGTTCCTGGAACCAGGTTGGTTATACACGTGTAGTTTAGCTTGTAATGCGTTTACCTTCTTTTACATAAGTGTAATGATATCGCAACTAAAAAGAGAAAGGCGGCATCAAACAATATCCATACATGTCTTTTTCCAAGGTATTATTCTTAATGGGTCAACTGTCATGGTTCAGCAACCTGATTAAGAATGACATGGTGGTTCCTGTCTACTAATCTGGATTATGTAACTCATGATTGTAGGAGCTTTTTTGTTATGAAGAAAAAGGGGAAAGGGGGTCTGAGAGGAAAGTTGCTACAATTAGGAAAAGCAGTTGTATTTTTTTTTATGGTGATATTCTTCCATTTAGCATTTTCATTTACCTCATATAGTTATCTTATGCTCTTCCGTTTCTAGAAGTTGCTTACGTGGGTTCATTGTTGCTTGCTTTGTATTCTTTTTGGCTGCTAATTTGCTGATTTTTGTGCTTAACCTTGTAGAAATTCCTGGTGGCCATGAGTTGCCAAGCTATTACGCTCGTGATGATGAAAGAGGTGCACACCGTGTTATTAGAGATTCTGACACAATCGGAGCATCATATGATCGTTATCTGCGCTCTGCGGTACTTAGTTCTTATTATGTGTTGCATTGTGGTGCCCACATAGCCCCCTTTCTTATTATGTTTCTAGTAGCGCTTTATTAATTTACAGTAGTTGAATGTTTAGTTCTAATGCATTAGTACAATGTACCAGCAAATTACTTCTTATGGTGGGGGGGAGTCTGTTAAACCTTTAAGTGGAGGACTAAGTGGTCACGCTATTGATGATCCACGCGACCCGCGCCTTATGGGTATTGGGGGGTTGGACCCAGGAGTGACTGCAAAAGGCCGGACCTTGGGATTTGGAGGTGGAAGGCCTGAGGTTTCTCTTCCTCCTGATGCTACCAGTACACTGTTTGTGGAGGGATTGCCAGCAAATTGTACACGGAGGGAGGTGTCTCGTATCCTTTTAATCTACTAATTTATCTCCTTGCATTGCTTTCATTTTTTCCCCCCATTTTTTTGCTTTTAGTTTGTTCCTTCACTTGGTTTGTAGATATCTTTCGCCCTTTTGTTGGGTACAAAGAAGTCAGACTTGTTACTAAGGATTCAAGACATGTATGATGTTTCTATCAAAATATACTGTCTAAATTCATTATTTGGAAAATGTTTGATATGCTCACTGAATTTTAATTTGTGCAGTCTGGGGGTGATCCGCTGGTACTTTGTTTTGTTGATTTTGCTAGTCCAGCCCATGCTGCCACTGCAATGGATGCCTTACAAGGTGTGCTTGACATCAAATTCAATTTTCGTTCAATTTGTAGGATGTTAGCTCTACTGAATAAAACTATAAATTACCAATGTGATTTGGCTATTGTCTCATTCTTTATTATGACATTACTGCAAAATGATACCATTTAAGAGTTGTAGAAGCAAAAAAAAAAAAAAAAAAGAAAAAAAGAAAAAACGAAAAACAGTAGGGGAATTGTTACTTCCGTTTTCAAGGCTGAGGGAGGGTTTTGATGCGGGTCATTGGGTTTTGCTCCTTTAGGATTTGTTGTGAAGAATTGTTTGCCAAAAGTATGGCTCTAGCTTGACACTGAACTTGGATAATATAAGCACATGCTACTCGATGCCTTGACCCTATTTTTTTTAAGCACCTTTAGCTTGACCTTAGCTCCGATTGACAGCGTCTTACTTCCAGTGGGATTCTTGGCGTCTTTTGGGCGATCTGAATGCGTGCTAATTATCTTAAGCTAAAAAGTGGTAGTGAGTATAAATACATGTACTTGGGCCTTTGTGAAGAAATGTTTGCTAAGAGTATGGCTCTAGCTTGAAACTGAACTTGGATAATGTAAGCACATTTAGCTCGATGACTTGTAATATAAGCACATTCAGCTTGACCTTAGCTCTGAATGATAGCGTCTTACTTCCAGCGGGATTCGAAGCGTATTTGCGTGATCTGAATGTGTGATAACCAACCATCTCAAGCTAAAAAGTAGTGTGAGCATGAATATATATATACTGGGCCTTTCAGAATAGTTATTATTCTGAAACTTGATTGCAAATATGAGGAGGAATATTTTGCTAAGTCTTTAACTTTTAAGATTTCCCAAACATATGTAAAGGTTATTCCTCCTGTAGTAAGAGCTGGATGCTGCATTCTGTTAAGGTTAATTTTTGTTCCTCATATTAGCTGCTGGAGTCACGTCTTCCCTTCACGTTCTTCATAATTCGTATTAGAGGATAGCGCGCACAATTGTACAATTGGCAATTCCACGTATATACTCGTAAGAATTTTTTTGTATAATGATATGTTATCATTCACTCAGTCAACAGGTTCTATTGATTTTCATCGCATGCCCTCGTGTATAGTCAGGAAATTAGCGGTGGACGCGCCATTGCCTCTTGGGTGTATTAGAAAGTGATGGCAAACATTATTTGCGTTTTTCTAAATAAATTACGTTTTTGCTGACGCACTTAATTCGCCGTTCATAACGTGAGTTCCGCAGCGTAAGTTAGTCAAACTCAATTTTGCAGGTTATAAATTCGATGAGCATGACCGTGATTCGGTCAATTTAAGGCTTCAATTTGCTCGCTATCCTGGTGCGAGGTCAGGTGGCGGGCATCGTGGCAAGCGTTGAATTATGCGGTTTTACAGGTGACTAATGCTATCCGCCATGCACTCAACCCTTTACTACAAATGATGGCCGTTAGTTCTATTTTAAGAAATTTCACGGAAAAATAAATTAAACTAAATTGTGGAACAACGCTTCTGTGTAGGACTCACTCGTGTCAGGGAGGTCTATGACAATGAGGGGTGATACAACAGCCTTGCAGTTTCAAGAATTACTTATCGTGCTGAATCGGCGCTTTTGTTAGGACCGGCTTGTTGCGGGTGGGTTTTCGATAATTGAGGGACGGTTGCCCGAGTTTAAACTTATAAAGGGCTTAGCTTTTTTCTAATTAATTTAGAATTATGTCTCAAACAATAACACCAGACTCGAGTCCTGTTAAATTTGTTTTTCTATTTGAGTCTATCAAAACATTGCTTCTGCTTTTGTTCATGTCTCGATATTATTTCATGTTTGGAGATATTTATTTAGTAAACTAGAGATAATGATTGCAGAGGTAGCGCAACTAACTAGTTTTCTTGTTTAGTTTGTCCTCATAGTTTTCTTAGGATTTTCTTTTGGATGTACAAAATCAACCATCTCTAGCCTCTTTTTCGTTTGAATTTTTTTCTATGCATATAGCAGGGATTATTTGGTTTATTTATCTTCAGTTTTGTTTTATTTATTTATTTTAAAGTCAGTTTTATGCTTTTTTTAGCATTTTCTTCATGCATATATATATATATATATATAAATTGTTATTATTGTTTTTCTTCTAAAAAAAGATAATTTTTAAGTTTTCTTTAACATGGGGTACAAGATGTCGGCAACATTTCAAATTCTAGGTTTAGCTTTTGCAAGCTTTGGGCATTTAAGTTGGATCTGGTCATCATTTTTCAACATGCCTTTTTGTAATCATCATTTATGTATTTTGGTTACACAACCGAGTTTCAGTTATACTTGTTTTAAAAATATTTTTAAGCATCATCCCTCACAAATGGTTATTTTGTTTTTAGTGTTTCATGTTATCGTATACTCAAGTTAGTATTTTTTGGGCTTTTTTTTTTATACTTCAGTAGAAACATTTTATACATGGAGGTTTTTTCTTCATTTGGTAGCCGCCTTATAAAATTGAGATACGGACTCCTTGTGTTAGGAGACTTCGACTTGTCTATTTTAATCCTTTAACTTAAACTATGCCACTCAAGGCGATTAAATTTCTTAAATAAGCCCGGACCAGGTTGTGCAAAGTGTGGGCGCTATATCTTCATGTAAAGTCTATGCATGCCTTTATTGTAGTCTTCATTGCATTGCCATAGTGGCGTTAAAAGGAGACTAATCATGTTACTATCCCGGGAGAAGTTCCCGAAGCCTATTTCTGCTTGTTATATAGCTTGATGCGCATAGAATTTTTTTTATTATCTTGGATGTCTGGGATCACATCTGTGCGCATAATCCCAGGGTCGTCACGGCTTTAACCATTTGAAGGGGGTTACAACTCTTGCCTGTTATGACTTGATATTTTTGATTGAGCTGGGCTTGGATGTCTAGTGTCACGTTGCTGCGTTTAAAATTCTAGGGTTGTCAAGCATCTTACTGTAATTATACAGGCTGAGGAAGGTATTCTTAAAATCTCCCTGTGGGTTCCTTGAGGTCAAGTCATGGACGATCCTTGCATGTTCATGTCCTTTAAAAGCTGTTGGTTGGTGGAAATGTTGGGAAAACGTTGATATATAAATATATTGACGAGTATGGATGACTTGAGTTCAATTGTTGTGCCAATATATATATATATATATATATATATATATATATATATATATCTATATTCCCCACTCCTTTGAGAGTTAAAAGCAAATACACAATCACAATCCTAGTAGGGCAGGTCTTGAACGCATGAACATTAATACCTATTAGTATTATTGCGTTGAGATTTATATATTACCAGATATGCGGTGTGGGGACGCATTTACATTGCTTCTACGGGGTTTGAAAGGGAGGAAATATCACTGGACTACAATCCATGGTGGTGTGGGTGGCTCTTGGCCTAAAAATATGGCTAATGACGTATTTAAGTAGAAAGAAGTGGATTTCGTGGGGGTGGGATGCCATACTGCAAGTGTTGCAATTGTTGAGCTTGACAAGCAAGCAGGGCTAATCATTTATCTTCTTTCAAAAATCTCAATTTAATTCAATTTTATCCACCAGAAAATCTCAATTTAATTCAATTTTTTTTAGATAGATAGATAGATAGATAGATTATGCGGTTTCTATTCTATTGTACGACGTTATTGTTTTTTACAGATGGTTTATGCTGATTTTGAAAGATTTCAATCTTTTAGAATTATTTTGTACATGTTTAACAAAAATACTAAATTGATTGTTAAATACTCTTTCTTCTATACCATTTTATTTTATTTGTGTGAAGATTGTTGAGTCTGTACCGTGTGATAAGAAAACAAATGCATTCATCTCAATTTAACATGAGAATGTTTTGAAAGATTTTAATTTTAAATGAATGTTTCATCAAATTTTGGTTATGATTTATTATAGTTTTTTTTTATGGTAGTTTCTTGTAATTATAGAAAAAGAAAAAGAAAAAAGAAGACAATCGTATGCTATAACTTTTTAATTAAATGAAATATAGAAGAGTGTTTTTTATTTATGTGGTATTCTTGGAGTATTGAGCCATACTTGATTAGAGCAGTTTTCTTACCTTTTCGGTTTGTTGGCTATATCATAAACAACTCATTATTCCAATTCTGGATAACCACCCCTTCCACACATAAAATTAATTGATTGCAACCCTCTAATAACATTCCTCATACCTATTTACAGCAATTTTAAGGACTGATAAAATGAATTCAGTAGAATTGGTATAATAAATTAAGAGTTTACACTAGCATGTGGAACATGCTCTTTAAAAAATTCTACACCATTTTACCATTTTATAATGTGTACGCTATGTACAAGTCTAACCATTTAAGTACTCCTATTGTTTGATAATTGGAATTTAAAGATCAAATTTAACTCTTATTGTTTGTTAATTAAACTTTAAAGATCAAATCTAAGTCCTAAAATTTTGAGCATAATTTTATGTTATAGAAATTTTTTAATACTTGTTTTAACCTCATTTAAATTTTCATCCCATAACTTATTATTTTAAGTGATCCAAATTGTGTTTTAAACACACTTAATTGGCTCACTATTCCGAACCATCGCTTAGTAATCTGGTCGGCGCTCCACAAGCTTCTCAATACCACCATAACATAAGAAAGTGGGGTTCTTTTAAAATGCTCCACAACTCTGCTTAATATATATATATATATATATATATTTTAAAACTAAATGACATAATTGCTGTTTATGCCTGATTTTCTTGATAAAGTGATTGTTACCAATGCTTTCTTTTTCCATGGCAATTAACTTTCACATCCACTTTTTATTATTTATTTATTTTATTTATTTTTTGTAAGCAAGCAATGACACATATCTACTTAACAAAAGAACATAACATGTACGCATACCCCTTTGCAAGTACAAAGTTCTCGTATTTAGGGAAGTAAAAACAATTTAACAGTCATTAAAAATAAATTTGTTGATGGAATTATTATGGTGAATACTAACTTTTTTCTCTTTTTTTTCTGCCACGTAGTCCATTTAATTTTCGTCTAATCAACTTGTCCTTGTCACGTGTCATTTTGCTATTGGCCCATGTTGGCATCCACATGGCATTCCAATATTTGTGTGCGAAAAATAAACACAAATTATAGCTTATATAACTTGGCAAACAAGTTTTAGCTGAGCTGTTGTAATAGGTAGGTGTTGTGTATCATGGAAGTCGAATACACCGTAGGGACATTGTTCGCGGCAAAAATCAAAATCTGGATTTTGATCTTCTCCAAATTTTATACGATGATTGTGATTAGCCAGTGAACTAACAAGAAAGAAGAACCAAGATTACAAGTCTCTCAAGTCAGCTGTACGCTCTCTTACGTTCTATCTCGGTTTTCAGTACAGTAACACCCGACCCACAAGACAAAACGGGTCAACGAACTATTTCTGGGTGCCACTCACCGGGTCACAATGCGATCCAGCTATCAACTTCAACGGTGAATTGTTGCACTTGCATCCCTGTCCTGCATGTATTTAATTCCACTAAATTAGGGTTCATTGTTGTTTACATGTATTTTATTCCACTAAATTACGGTTTATTAGACTCCACATTATTATTAAAGCAACTGCTAACTGCTAGTGTCTTATCTGGTTGAAAATTTCTAGGGCTTTGTGTATGAACTCTTGCTTGTTATGACAATCTAAATTCTTCTGATATCAAAGATAGGTACCGAAATATTAGAAACAGTTGTTTTCTAATCATTTTTATTTACATGTTTTTGGGATAGGGTCATTTATGTCACACTGCAATTTAAACTGAAAATTAGCCAAAAAAAGACACGTGACTTGTTTTATAAAGGACCTAAGTGAACAACGAAGTGAATTCATTAATTTCATGTATAGTCTATATAAGAGAACATGAATTTAAATTCAATCCTTTCAAAAAAGAACAAACAAAAAAGAACAAAAAAAAAAAAAAAAAACGAAGATACCTTTAAAATAAATTGCAAATAGTGAGACTTTTACCAAAAACCTCCAAGTAAAAAGTTCAAAAAATGGGGTTTTCAAAGCTCACCAAGGAGATGAGGCACTAATCAGTCTCTGGACAAAAATATTGTTAACCAAATTTCCTCCATTTCAAACTCAAAGTATCGATTCGGTGTCCCTAAACATAGCATAAGTTCAATCTAGTACAAGATTAATCTGCATCTAATCATTTGCTATTATTTTTGAAAATCTCAATTTAATTCGGGGTTGTACCAATTGGGCTATTCTTTATTTAGAAACTCGAACCTTAAACTTTGAAAAGTAAAGAAAAGTAAAGAGATACTGCTAAGCAATAATGTTTATTATATATTATATACGTAGTATATATTGGTCCTTTTTGTAAGATTACCAATTTGCCACCATTGGAAGAGTGAACTAGAATTACAGTTCTTCTAATCAAACACACGTGGTTGTTTTTATTTTTTATTTTTTATAGAGGGGTGAATGCTATGTCCGTGTTACGTAGATTATAAGAGGTGAATTTTTTAATAAATATTTTTTAACATTTAAAGAAAATGGAAAAAAATAAATAAATTGATTGATACGTATTCTCTCTAACCATTTAATTTTTTCAATATTGCAATGTAGCAGGGGGAATCCGCCATTTCGGTTATCACAATAGTGTATATGCTTTTTGACCAAAAGTTTCATAAACACAGTAAAAAGAATGACAGAAGACACATGCCATTTTGGGTGTGTTTCAATCCTTGGAACAAAGTTTTACATGTTTGCAATATTTTCATTGGAGATTATTCCAACATTTGAATTGATAGCTTATTTTATCTTTTGGA